ATTTGTCCGAGCATGCTCACGTGATTATTTTTCCGTTCCCTTTCCCTTTCCCGTAGAAAAATGGATGAGTGGAAACTCACCTTTAAGCATGTAGATAATCTCGACGCAGATTGTAAGTCATTTACTACGGAAATAATTAATAAAACAAATAAAAATGCATTTATAACAGCATTATATAGACCGCCTAATGGTAATTACAATCAGTTTGAAAACCACTTAAATTGCTTCCTACCAAAGCTCATAAAAAAACACGTGTATTTACTGAGTGATTTTAATTTTAATTTTCTCAATAATAAAATAGATAACCACGTTGCGCGTTTTATAAAAACACTTTTGCAATAAAGCGTTTTTCCCATGATTAACAAGCCAACACGCATGACTAATACAACTGCACCCAAAAACTATTTATCTAGAAACAAAAACTATTTATGTAAGAAAAATAAATAATGATAATAATCAATCGTCACTTTTCGCGACCTCTTACAAGAAATAAAATGGGAACTATTGACTAATTGCAATGATGTAAATAATGGCTATGATTTTTTTATTCGCGTGTTTACTAAACAATACAAAAAGGTTTTCCAAAAGTTAAATAAATTATTAATTCTAAAAATTTGCTTAGTCCATGGATGACGATAAAACTCATTAAGTCGATAAAAAAGAAACGAAAACTTTACCAAAAATTAAAAAAAAAAAAAAAGAACTACAAAAATGAAATAAAATACAAAAATTATAAAAATTCTTTTGAAAAGTTAAAAAAGCAATCCAAAAAAAATTACTATTCCTTATTGCTTAATAAAACATTTGGAAATGCAAGAAAAACATGGAATGTCATTTAAGAAATAAAAGGCGTGGAAAATGTGAAAATTGATAATTTTCTAAAAAGATTGCAAGGAGACGGTAATATAGGAGATGCTTTTGTAAATAAAAAAATTGCAGAAACATTTAATGACTTTTTTTATAAATATAGGGAACAAGCTAGCCAGTGCAATTCCTCAGCGGAGTAAATCATTTGAATCCTTTTTGAAAAAATTAGATTGATATCCATAATGGATGAGTCGGAGCTTCTGATTGATGAACTTCGGCTAGCAATTAGTATGCTGAAAACAAATAAGAGTGCGGGTCTTGATGAAAATAACTCCGATGTTTTAAAAGCGGTCTCTAATATTATTAAGAAACTTCTTTTTATAATTTTTAATCTTTCCTTAAGAAACGGTATTTTTCCTGACTAACTAAAACAAGCAAAAATAATTCCAATATATAAAAAAGCGGTGATGATTCGATAAAATCTAACTATAGACCAATTTCCATACTTTCCTGTTTTTCTAAAATACTAGTGCGTATTATGCACAACAGGCTGTACAATTATCTTGAAACTAATAACATTCTTTATCATAAACAGTTTGGTTTTCACATAAACCATTCTAAGGAGCATGCAGTAATTGATCTCGCGAACCAAATTCTAAATGGTTTTGAAAACAATAGTTACACACTCGGAATATTTCTAGATCTATCTAAAGCCTTTGATACTGTCAACCACAAGATTCTTATCAACAAACTATGTAATTACGGAGTAGCTCACTCTAACTTAAAGTGGCTGCAATGTTATTTAGAAAATCGTAAACAAGTAGTACCATTTGATTTAACATGCTCTCCATTTGAGTCAATAAGTTGTGGATTTCCACAAGGATCAATACTTGGACCTTTACTGTTTTTAATTTATATTAATAATATTTATTTGTCATCAAAAATACTTAATTATATTATTTTTCCTGACGATGCTAATGTTTTTTTTTTTGATTCACATTTAAAAAATAATTTTTGTAATGTAAACACAGAACTAACATATCTCAATGAGTGGTTTATAGCAAATAAACTTTCATTGATATTTTGTGGTTTATAGCAAATAAACTTTCATTAATATAAAAAACAAAATATATTTTGTTTGCTAAACCATCTAAATCCGAGAACCTTCCACTTACACTACCAGAACTAACTATTAACATTATTAAAATAAAAAGAGTTTTTTCAATGAAAATACTTGGAATAATTTTTGACGAATATTTAAATTGGAAAAGCCAAATAAAGCTAGTCGAGAACAAAGTCTCAAAGACTTATAAGACTAAAACTCTTTTGAATATATGTTTAAAAAATTTATATTTTTCGTTTATACATAGTCATATTAAGTATTGTAATATTGCCTGGGCAAACAACCACTTATCTTTCCTAAAAACTATTTATACAAAACAAAAGCTAGCAAGTTGATTAGTTTCGGCTTGGGTAGATACGAAAGTGCCGAGCCGTTATTCAAAGAAATAAATGTCCTAAATGTTTACAAATTAAACCTCTACCATAACTTGTTATTTACGTTTAAATTTCAAAACGAATTTATTCCAAAATATTTTTTTAAAAACTTCTCTCTTATTAATCATAAATATAAAATAAGACACTCAATAATTACTACATTCCACTCAAAAAATCTGACTTCTCAATTACATGTTGGGGACCACGCTTGTGCCGAAACTACAAACAATTCTGATTGTCATTATTTGAATATTAGAGTCAGATAGGTTGATATGCGAGTCTACATCAAATGGCATAACAATTCTGCTTATTTTTCTCAGTAATAATTCTTATCAGTTGCCTGATGATGTTTCTGACGCACAGAAGTTTGAAATTTTTAAATGTGTTTTTAAAAAAAAATTAAATTGATTTTCCAGATATTTTAGAAAGAAGACGATTTTTACTGAATTATTATAAAAGCAAGACGAAGAATGGAGAAATCTTTAAAATCAGACATGGAGAAATCTTTAAAATCAGACATGGCTCATAAATTATTTGAACAGCAATAAAGTGTTTTATTTTTGTTAAAAACTTTTTGGGATAATTTCTTCACCATTCCAACAAGTAATGAAAACTTGAGAAAGCTTATCAAAAAAAAAACTTAGAGAACACGAAACATGCAGTACACATTTTAAGTGCTTTGAACACTGGATGACTTAACGAAAAGGTTAACTCATATTTCTTTTAATTTATTGCTTTGTTACTTTTTTATCTTAATTAATTTAATTTTGGTAATGCAGGCATTGCAAATCAAGCTACCATAGACAAGCAACAAAAAAAGTTGCTCATCAATACAGTGCAGTGCTAGAAAAGATACAGGACATTACCTCATTTCTTTCTGCAAGAAATCTTGAATTTTGTGGTTTAGACACAGCCATTGTTTCAAAGAGCAGTGAAAACTTTCTTGGGGTGTTTGAATTACAGGCTAAGTACGATACCGTTCTTAATGAGCTTATGCAAAGAATTCAGAACAAAGAAACCAAGGAGCACTATTTGACACACAGAACAAGTTTTGTGGAGGAGATTGAATCCAAAAATCTTTCAAGGGTAAAAAAAAAACAAAATACTATTTTATTATTTTAGATTGTACGCTATGCATTTCACACTAACAACAAATGAGCATTGGTCATCTATCTGTGCAATTTCTTTTTTTGGTGTTCTTTCAAGGTTATATACACTCTTTTCATCGTCTCCTCCTTAAAGGGAAATTCTAAAATTCTGCGTGGCTATTTCTTTCAAACCACAATTAGATACCAGATGGGAAAAAAGAATAAACTGTGTTAAACCACTTCACTGTTATTTAAAAGAAATTTTTGAGGCAATCGAAAGTTTGGAAAAACATGACTTAGAAAGAGAGATGGGTACGATCGTTCACGGAATATAATAGAACATGATCTTTTTTATTCAACAAATCAAGTAAGTCTTTTCAGCCTTCTGCAACCTCTCTCAACATATTAGGTAATGAAATAAAAGCAACAAATGTATTTCTTAATGAGTATCGCAAAAATGGATTTTCCGACGCACGTATTAAAGCATCAGAAATCGCAGAAGCAATGACAAGGTTTTTCTAATAATACGTTTAAGAAAAAATATATCGTGTTATTCATACGAGTGTGTTGATCACACTCGGCAACCTGAACATCAGTATAAAGTAGATTTTTTTTTTTAATTGATATGTCAATTGCATTAGTAAACGAGCGTTTTGGTAAGATCAGCATTGTCAAAAAGCTTAATGACTTTTTTTACCAATCTGAAAGTCTTATCAAAGCCTTTAATGAAAATTCTTTGTCTGTATATTGCAAAATTTTGCAAATGAAGCTTGGTGATAAAGACTTTGAGGATTTAGAAATGGAGTTAAAACGATTTGTCATAGTTAAAAAGGAGGAACAAAATGCCTCAAAGTAGAGCTCCAAGAAACTTATTATAATCTAGTTGTTGCGTTACGAATTATTCCTACTTTACCAGTTACTGTTGCAAGTGCAGAACGTAGCTTTAGCAAGTTAAAACTATTTAAAACTTTTCATAGGTTAGTATAAATAATCTTGCTTCAATATACATAAATACATGTAGCTACATTTTTTTTTATCTTTAAATAGGTCAACAATGATCAATCAACGTTTGTCTTATTTAGCAACGCCGTCGATTAAAATCGAGGTTGCAAGGAAATTAAGTTATGAAGGCATGATAAATGAGTTGGCAAGCATGAAAACACTTCGCAAACCCTTTTTTTGATGATTTGCGACGTACTTGTATTATCTGCGTAATACATTAACAGTATTTAAAAAACTCTTTACTGATAAACTCTATATCAGTTTAACAACTATAAATTATATTTAATTGAATTTAAGCGTTATTTTGATTGTTTTCAGACTTATGAAAGGCGACGTTAAAATACATCAGTTACCCTGCTTTTCGGGGTAATCTGTAAATTTTATCCACTTTTTTAGAGAAAATAAATAAAAAATTGGGGCCCAAATTGGCTAGTTTTGAGGGGTAGACCCACTTGCCACGACACTGATTAGAAGTATCTTTGAATGAATAAGATATAGTAATATTTTATACTGTTAAAACTTTTTAATACTATGTTGTTGTGAAAATATATAGAGAAAAAAAAGAATGAAATAAAAATTTATTTTTGATGTATAAATTTTTGTTACCTTTAGCAGCTCCTCCAGGAAGTATAATGTGTGAAAAATGAATGTATGATGTATAAACAGTTAAAAATCACATTTATGTTTTAAAAATATAAGATCATACCACCAGGAATAGAAATTTACTTTGAGTTTATAGAAGTTTGATCAATCAAACTTGTTTAGAAAGTATAACATGCGTATTTTTAGCTGTATATGTTCAACCAACTGAAACCGAGTTTGTTTCGATAGTGTTTTGTAATACTTAGAAAACCATTATTCGTTTGCAAGACTGCAAAATGATTTACCACTGTAAATGCAACTGATTTATAATAGTATTTGTAGAGATACGAGTAGTGATTTTGGTTGAATAACAAATATTCAGTGACGCTTGTTATTTTAATTTGACACTTATTATGGAACTTTAAGGGTTTCAATCTGCTTCAATGAATTGGATGTGTTAACTACGCTATGAGCGTATTTTTTTCATTTGCGAGTAGGTTGTGTCTCGGCACGTTTTTTCGTTTCGTTTGATTATTTTGTTGATTGTTACATCGAATTGTTTTAAATATAGTTATGTGCAAATGTATTATATTCTTCAAACAATTCAAAAAAGTTACGAAAATAACCTGTTCTAGTATATCTTGCATTTCAGAGATAATTTTTTTGCTGTTATGTTTATTACATTGTTCAAGTATTTGGATATAGCACAAATAACTGAAAATTATTTGTGCTATATCCAAATATTTAAAATGAGATTTTCGCTACAACCTGAACTTAAAGCATGATTTTAACTTTAATAAAAATAATCTTTATAAAGCTGCCTTTTTTATTGATCTACGATTTGAAACTAATTTCCACGTATGAGTATGAGGCACAGCGACAAAAACAAAAAATTCAAACCAAAAAATAAAAATTTCCACTTGTGTGCTATCCATATAAGGTGTCATCAGAGGCCAATTTAACAATCTAACTCTCAACTCTCAATTTAACTCTCCCACTAAAAATGTTACAACCAAAATTGGTCAACGCTTTTTAACCCTAATTGACAAGCGTTTTCCTAAAGACCACAACCTACACAAAATATTTAACAGAAACACAATTAAAATAAGCTACTCCTGCATGCCAAACAATAAATCTATCATCAACTCACACAACAAAAATATTTTATATGGTGATGTAAAGTTATCAGAAAAAGCCTGCAATTGCATCAAAAAATCTTTTTGTCCACTGAACAACAATTGCTTGTCTAACAACATCGTTTACCAAGCCACCGTAAGCTTAAATACAAAGATAAGGTATACATTGGGATAAGCGAAACCTCTTTTAAGCTACTTTATGCAAACTATCTAAAATTGCTCAACTTAAAAAAGTACAAGAACGACACTAGTTATGTTAAAAAAAAGATATATATATATATATATATATATATATATATATATATATATATATATATATATATATATATATATATATATATATATATATATATATATATATATATATATATATATATATATATATATATATATATATATATATATTAAGTATATACTTGACACTTGATATAGTATTTCAAGTATAATAATTTATATACTATATCAAGAACCAAGTTCTGACTGTTTGAAAGACTTAGACATCGCAGAATCTCATGCATAGTCATATTTTTCAAAAGGAAAACCTATTAATAATACAGAGAGTTTATGGTGATAATTCAATATAATTCAATATCTTTAATTAACAACTTTTAGATTGTTCTATTCGAAATAATTGAACCAGTACATTAGTTAATGAACTTTTTGAAATATTACAATATCAAGTTTTGGAACTTCGCTAATAACCAATTACTTAACTTTAGTAATTAGTTATTAGTGAAGTTCAAAAGTTTTGATTAAAAAATAAGTCTAATTGAAAAATTAAACCAGTCATAACAGTTATATAAGAGACAGGAGAGTAGAGAAATTTCCTTTACTCTAAAAGAAATTTTCTACCCACCTGTCTCTTATATAACTGTATTAACATATGAATAACTGTATTAACATGTTGGAATGTTATTGGCAATTTACTAAGTAACCAATGAGAAACACTCCTTAATTTCTCCTATTTTTTTAACATCTAGGAAATTTTATTGAAGTAAATGGATTATACTTATTATTAAAGAAATTATATAGTCCTTTGATTGATTGCAAACCTATATTTCTATTGTATATATATATATATATATATATATATATATATATATATATATATATATATATATATATATATATATATATACATATATATATATATATATATATATATATATATATATATATATATATATATATATTTATATATATATATATATATATATATATATATATATATATATATATATATATATATATATATATATATATATATATATATATATATATATATATATATATATATATATATATATATATATATATATATATATATATATATATATATATATATATATATATATATATATATAATATATATATATATATATATATATATATATATATATATATACAACCCTTGGAATTAAGAAAAAAAAGGTTGACAATAATTTGTCGACATCAATCAAAAAAGCAAAAAAAAGTGATTCAAAAGTCTTACAATTAAACATTGAAACAAGCTCAGCATTATTTGTCGACCTCAAGCAATTTTAGGTTGGCATTGCTGCATGCCGATCCTAATTCCAAAGGTTATATATACATATATCTATATATATATATATATATATATCTATCTATATATATCTATATATATATATATATATCTATATATATATATATATATATATATATATATATATATATATATATATATATATATATATATATATATATATATATATATATATATATATATATATATATATATATATATAATATATATATATATATATATATATGTATCTATAAAAGTAATATGGTAATTTATAATAATTTTTCTGTTTTTATTTTAAATTTATTGAAAAAAATAAGATTTTGTTTTCAATGTAGTTATTTTTTCCTTAATTCTGCTATTTTTTTTTTCAAAAAATTTACTTTCGTGACCAAATCTTTTTAAATAATAGAAAAATGTCTCCTTAAAATCCTGACTTATAGCGTCAGTTTTAATAGTAAAAATACAAAATATATATCAAATAAAATAAAAATGAGTTTTGCTAAAATTTAAAATTATTAAAATTAGTTAAAATTTAGAACTATTAGTTATTATTAGTTAAAATTAGTAGAATTTGTAGTATTAGTTAAAATTTAGAAATAGATAGTGTGAAACATCAATTAGATACAATTTAAAGTTGAACAGAAAAAAAAAAAAAAAAAAAAAAAAATGCTAAAGTTAAAAAAAAAACACTTGTAAGAATATTTTTTACTTTATCCATAAGTTTTATTTACTTGTTAATTAAGATTTTATTTTTAGGAGCGTCAACTACATCAAGTGTCAGTTGATATATATGTTTTGGTCAAATACATGTTTGTATTTGGTAATATTATGTTACATTTTTGTTTTGTATTTCAAAAACTCATATTGCATTTATTTAAATATGCATTTAGGAATCTAGAATTGATGTGTTTGTAGTTTTTGTATCTAATTTTGTTTTAAATTAAAGAAATTTTATTTGATTAAATGTATTTAACTCTAAAGTTCATTTTTATTTTTGCCGTAGGTTTTAAAAAAATAGAACAACGGTTTTGGCTATAGTTCATTTTATGTAATGGTTAATGTAATATAATTTATTTTATGTAATATGCCTAATGAATTTTTATTGGTAAAAACTTCTTTAATTCATTCAGCTCTTTCAAAATTTGAAAGTCTGTGATTCAAAGTTTCGCTTTTCCCAAAACAAAGTTAAAGAAAATATATGAAGTCAATGATAAATCTTAAAGTTTTACAAAGAATAATGTAAGTAATATTTTTTCTTCTAATAACTATCTTGGAAGTTATTTTAACTATCTAGGCCTTTTATCTTTATAAATTAATTTTTTTAATACTTCTCAATACTCAAAATAGATATCTAGTCAATTCAGCAAGAAAAAAAGAACATTTAAGAATTTCCTTTCAAAAGATGTAGTTCGTAAAATTTTAAGTTAGTTATATATATATATATATATATATATATATATATATATATATATATATATATATATATATATATATATATATATATATATATATATATATATATATATATATATATATATATATATATATATATATATATATATATATATATATATATATATATATATATATATATATATATATATATCTTCTTCATATCCTGTAACTTCAGGGGTTCTTCAAGGTTCAATCCTTGGCCCTATACTCTTTTTAATTTATATTAACGATCTTCCAGATATTATCACATCTAAAGTGGCATTGTTCGCTGACGACACTGCTATTAATTCTTGTCATGATAAGAAGCCTACACTCTCTGATTGCTTGGAGGGGGTATCTGAGCTTGAAAAGGATCTCACCTCTGCTACAGCATGTGGCTCACAATGGTTGGTGAACTTTATTTCAGATAAAACTCAATTTTTTTCGGCCAATCGTTATCGCAATAATTTTAATCTTCCTATATTTATGAATGGTATTGTACTAGATGAGTCATATACCCTTCACCTTCTACGATTAACTTTTACTTCTGATCTTTCTTTTAAACCGTATATCAAATCCATTGCAATATTAGCATCTGCTAAGGTTGCATCTCTTTATCGAGCTCGACACTTCCTTACTCTAGATTCTATTCTCTATCTCTCTAAATCTCAAATCCGTCCCTGTATAGAATACTGTTGCCATATCTTGGGCAGATTTTCTATTGATGCCCTTTCTCTTTTAGACAAGGTGCAAAAACGCATTGTAATCATAGTTGGACCTGCTTGTGCAGCCAATCTCCAACCATTGTCACATCATCGTGATGTTGCTTCTTTTTCTCTTTTCTACAAATACTATAATTGGCACTGCTCTAAAGCTAGTTTCTTTCTTCGAACATCAGTTCTTTGGAATTTGCTTCCTTCAATTCTACCCCAGCGGGCACGGCAACGTCCATATGACGTCGAAATGACGTCTTTTTAGGACGTCCAGAACTGGTTCTAAATGGCAACGCCAGATGACGTCTTTTTTAAACGTAATTAGGACGTCTTTTTAGGACGGAAT